ATCAACCACGATCGCGACGACAGTGTCGACAACGGCTTCAACCACGATCTCGACTACAGTTTCGACAACGGCTTCAACCACGATCTCGACTACAGTTTCGACAACGGCTTCAACCGCGATCTCGACTACAGTTTCGACAACGCCTTCAACAACATCAACTACAATAGGTAAGACTACGTTTGCTTTGCATGATCGTCGATATCTGACTATAATGATTGAAAGGGGATAAAATAATAGGTAGTTTGTATAATACTCTTTCGCATTTTACTTCAATACAAAAATTTGTGCATCAAATAATAACACATGACTTATAAGACACCTAAGTTTGTTTCTTGTATATTTTGTGTTAGAGGGACGATACGCGAAGTGCTTGGATAGCTCAGTTGGTAGAGCAGCCGCCCGGATAGCGCGTTGGCCTGTGGTTCGATTCCACATCCCAGCACATGTTTTGCTTCGTTCATGGCTGACTGAGTCACGGAGAGGTAGATGATATCGGTGGAGATGGCAGGGACACAGCATGCACGCCAGCAGAAATGATTTTCATAGTGCAATTTTCCGTTATTATTACATAAAGGTCGATAACGTTTTTCCTTTCATAATAGCTGTATGTATGAATTTCACGACCCAAGTGACGTATCCAACTGGCTCTGGATCTGCTCCGTTTCCCATAACAACAGGCGATGTCAATAACGATGGTCACATTGATATTATTGTTGGTCTCTCAGGTTCGAGTAAAGTCGGTATTCTTTTCAATACTGGTAACGGTACGTTTGCTCGTCAAGTCAATTATACAGTTGGTCCTGGTTTGACATGGTCTATCAGTGCAATCGATGTCAATTCGGATGGCAAACTTGATCTCGTTGTCGCAAACTCTGATGCTGATAACATCGGTGTTCTGATTAATAATGGTGGTGGCACGTTTGCTTCTCAAGTCATCTATGCAACTGGCAATGGCTCCAAGCCACACTCGGCGGCAATTGCTGACATCAATGGTGATGCACTACCTGATGTTGTTGCCGCAAATTTCGGCTTAAACAACATTGGCGTACTCCTTAACACTGGTGCTGGTACATTTGGTACTCAAGTCACTTACGCAGCCGGCTCTCAACCGCATTCTGTTGCAGTGAGTGACGTTAATTTGGATAATCTGCCCGACATTGTCGTTGCAAATAACGTTGCAAATAACGTCGGCGTTTTTCTCAACGTCGGTAATGGTACATTTAGTACTCAAGTGACCTATCCCACGGGCTCTCAGCCACATTCGGTGGCAGTACATGACGTGAATCTTGATAACAAGCCCGACATTATTGTCGCAAATTACGGTTCAAACAACATTGGCGTTCTTCTTAATACCGGTGCCGGAGTATTCAGTACTCAAAAGACATATCCAACCGGCTCGCAGCCATATTTTGTAGTAACCAACGACATGAATAGCGATGGCTGTATCGATATCATTGTCGCAAATTCCGCGTCGTACAACGTCGGCGTTTTCCTCAACTTAGGAAACGGTACATTCGCGTCTCAGAAGATCTACGCCACTGGTTATTCTTTATACGCTGTGACAACAGCTGATATTGATTCGGATAATAAACCTGATCTTATTGTTCCCAACGACGGCGGAAATAATATCGGTGTTTTCTCATCTGGCTGCGAATGATCATTAAATTTAATACTATACATACAGTAAAACCTCTAATAATAAGCACCTCTCCCATGTGATCCATCCGTCGTACTGAACACCCTCCAGTTCTTCCAAGTGAATTTCACTGTTGTTGACCCTCTCCAATATGAAAACCTCATGATTCTGACTTTGAATGAGTACAAGCGTAGTTTAGTCACACCGTCTATTAAGATAGAACGACAGGGACGAGATGAGTTACATACGCACGCTACATACAAAACAGTATGTATCTTATTCTTGCGTTTATGAGCAAGTCAGAATGCATTCCACGCTTTAACTATCGTTATTCCACTATATATTCTCGTTTTGCACAGAATATGAACAAGTCGCGCTTTGGCTTGCATTAAACTTCTATCTCTGTCATTTTGTCAAATCATACATAGAATAAATTGTCAGTATGCAAACTATTTTTTGAATAATCGCTCGCATAATATATTTACTGATTTGTTGATGGAAAGTTTGTACATGGTTTGAGAATCGATTGCTGATGCTTGATGATACAAATGGTTTGACATTCAACTTTTGCTGCTAGGTACGACAGAGATAATTTTATTGGCGCTCTAGTTTGATTTGAATTCTTCTTTTGTGATGAGGAAGTCGGTGAAAGATCTTATGCATTGCTTTTTTATTGTTCCACTTTTTTAATGACGACATAAAGTATTGGTAGCTTTGATAACTAAAATTCAAACATTTGTTTTTGGCCTTAGAAAATGATAATAATTCGAATTTCATAAGTATTCGAAGTGTTTCTGCTGATGACTAAGAGGGGAACGTTTTCTCTCAGTGAGCACTGTTCATTATTGATCTATTATGTTTTATATCGATCATTTCTCATTTTTGAAAACTTTCTAATGCAAACATTGTGTACTTACTTAAGTTTCCTACTCATAAACACTCGCAGCTATTTAATTCCTTGTAAAGAAATTAATATTTGTTTAACCGACGTCGAGAGAATTTTTGGCAAGTAATTGCAGTTAACATCACTATTTCGAACAGATCGCAACAAGTTATTCTCTATGAGTTCTAGACAACGCGAAGCATCCTTAAACTCTTCATCACAATCTGGTGATAAATTAACACGTTAAAGAAGAAATACTAGAAAATTAACGCTTATAAAACGCACAGATTTTATCACATGTATCTGACTTGCCTTCAGTTTTTGAATTGATCGCAAGCAACTATACAACATGACAATCAAAATTTTGCTATTGTTAGTGAAATTAGATTTCTGATGCATGAAGATAATTATTGTTGCAAATTTTCAAAACATCGGACCTATTGTTGGGATGAATCGCATTTATCTTCGAATACTCAAAATGTATCCAGGATTTAGCTCGGAAAACGTATAAAAGAATCAAGATTGCATAGATCCTAAGTCACAGAATTCTTAAGAAATTATAAATTAAATCGTAAATATAGACTTAAGTGTTGCGTATCTTCTCTGTACGTGGAATAAATAGACCAGTATAATGGCTTTTATAAATATACGAATTCATTGACAGTTACAGTTTGTCAATCAGATCTTTGTTATAGAATATGATTTTTTGCTGAAAAGAAATATCTACGTGTACAATCGTTTATTGATCATCGTGAACAAGAATATCCTTCGACTGCAACCAATCCAGAGATTAAAGATTAATGTATGTAACTAGGCCCCATTGTTTACTTTGTCCTGGAAAGAATTTAATCATTCTTGCCTTTTGAATGATAATCACTTGTTTATAGTCAGACCATGTAATGATGAAACTTATGTTACCTCTGCTGAGCTTGCTAATTTTTTCGTGATTTCACTCAAATATTTGCTAAAACTATTCGAAATTATTACCACTAAAGTGCCATGAGGATCCTATTCCCCTAATCTTTGAATAAACACACATATACACGCACTTTCAAACCGGTTTTTACCTTAATGATGACAGTGATTCCTATATGTTGAACTAAACAACAGAGGAAAAAACAAAAGTAAATCTAATTCTATTTTTATATCCGTATGTGTGTTTTTCTATAATAAAAATTCTCCGTACCATATCTCTAGATTTATTTACATATCCCTTGTTTCATGTTTTCTCTCCAGGAAGCAATGCTTCTCCAAATAGTCCCATTGACGTCAGCACTTTTGGAATGGATTTCATCCATACACAAATCGTTCATGATTTACTTATCCAGAATACAAACGCATTGTTTGATAGTTGTTTGTTCTATTTCATCGTTTTTATCGGCGAGTTTTGTATACGCAAAAAGACCTCTTTTAATCGAATTCTATTATCAGTCAATATTTGAATTTGTTTTGTCAGTTGAAGTTACAGAACAACCATTGACTTATTTAACAAAGAAATAAGAGAGATGTTGCTGTCCGAGATTTCTCTATGTGCAATGTTGAATAGCTTCCAGTGATATGTTTACACAGAAAGTGTATATTGACGTCATAGAGAAAGAGAGAAAGAGTGAACTGTCAGTTTAATTTCACTTCATTTCTTCCTGGTATATCAATAAGAAACATGTCGGCTGGTGATTTGTCCTTCTGGCTGATCTTGTTGAGTATTGCAGAAGCATCAAGTAAGTCACTGAGCAGTGTCCGTCACTGAGATATAGTTTTGTATAAAATTATCTGAATCATTTAGATGTTTCGTATAATCAACCAAAACTGGATGCTTATGCAGTGTGGAATCCAAATGCGATCGTTTTTGCAAATTCATCTCTGGTCGGCGCCAATCCTCGTGGTCTTTTCGTTGATACGAATGACACAGTCTATGTTGTTGATCAAATAAACAGTCGAACTCTGATTTGGTTCAACAACAGTATAAATCCAACAAGAACAATCTATGGCGATATGAGCAAGCCTATGTGCATCTTTGTAACAACAAGTGGTGACACGTACATTAGTGATTTTAAAGCAAATAATCAAACTCGTAGATGGTCACAGAATTCAAATGGTAGTAGTCTTGTGATGTATACTAGTTCAGGATGTTATGGTCTGTTCATTGATATCAATAACACTTTGTACTGTTCGCTGTACAATGAACACATAATTGTGAAGAAGTGGTTGGGTAACAATGCATCAACAGTGACACCGATTGCTGGGAATAGATCAAATGGATCTGGATTGAATCAGCTTAACAATCCTTGTGGAATCTTTGTCACTATTGATTTTGATTTATATGTAGCTGACTACATAAACAAGCGAATTCAACTTTTTCAATCTGGTCAATCTAGTGGAATAACAGTTGCTGGAAGTTCATCAATAAACGTTACAGTCAAACTACAAGGCCCTAATGCTGTCATACTTGACGCCGATAATTACCTATTCATAACAGACGGCTCAGCGGGTAGGATTATTGGATCAGGGCCAAATGGTTTTCGATGCATCGTTGGATGTTCTGGTTCATCGGGTAGCAATACTAACCAACTATCAGGCCCGTGGAATCTAGCTTTCGATAGTCACGGCAATCTATACGCTAATGAATGGAACAGTTATCGTATTTTGAAATACACTTTATTGAATAATACTGGAGGTAAGAACTGTTGAAAGCTAACGGCAATCACCGATACATATTGATTTCTGCAAGATTCCGAGCCTGTTCAGAATAGTAAATAAAATGAGAAGCACATAGTAAGAGATGAGAAATTCCTATTTAAGATCAAAAGTCAACATCAAAATTGTATCGTGATGAGAAAGAGTAAACGAAAATATAAAAATATCATTTTGATTATCTTCTGTCAAATGATCATTTCTGATCTTTTCGACATGCTTTGATTTGTAATCTTTCTCCATTTTTCAGTGAAATCATATAACCAGCCGCAACTGTCTGCAGATACCACATGGAACCGAAATGCAATTACATTCGCTAGTAAAAACATGATCGGGCAACATCAGTCGAACATTTTTATTGATGCAAACAACTCAGTGTATATTATTGATACACAAAACAGTCGACTTCAAATATGGTTTAACAACAGCATCAGCCTGGCACGGACCATATCGGGAAACTTCTCCAATGTAAATTCTATATTCGTTACGAATAATGGTGATATTTACATTGATAATGGCACTTCTAATGGCTTCGTTAGCAGATGGTCCATGGACACAAATACTAGCATTCCGGTCATGTCTATTAATTCATCTTGTTTTAGTTTGTTTATTGATAAAAGCAATACGATATATTGTTCACTCTCCACAGAGAATAGAATTGTGAAAAAATGGTTAGGTGATAGTACAATGATAGTAACGAAAGTAGCCGGAAATATCAATGGTACACGTGGCTCATCTTCGGATGGATTCGCTGTCCCACGTGGAATTTTTGTCAATGATTACTTTGCTTTATATGTGGCTGATTCTGGAAATGATCGAATACAACTTTTTCGACTAGGTCAAACGGAAGGAATAACAGTTGCAGGAAAAACTTCAAACAATGTTACAATCAAACTGAATAATCCAACCGAAGTTGTACTAGATGCTAACAATTATTTATTTATTGTGGACGCTGGTAATAATCGGATAGTTGGGTCAGGACCAACTGGTTTTCGATGCATAGTCGGATGTTCCAGCCGTGGCTGGTGGAATTGGTGGAAAAAAGTTTCCCAACCGGGTAGCATGGGTTTTGACAGTTGTGGAAATATATTTATCGTGGATACAGGATACGATCGCATCCAAATTCTTCCTTTATCAAAAACCTCATGCAGTAAGCGCTAAAAGCTTGATATCATATCGACAACCTAAACATTAATTTCTTGATCCTATGAACACACAGTAGAAAATAGCTTTTCAATTGATTAAGCACATTACTAACGAAAGCAACAACCAAACAAAGCTACTTATAGAAATGTTCTATTAAATCTGAAATTGATTTGCTCTTACATCTTCTTTCTAGATCAAAACAGATGGATAGCGACAGCAACGAATGCGGTAGCATCGAATCAAAGTAGTCGTGGTGGTATTATAGGAGATATGAATACAAATAATGCGTTCTAGGTTGTTTCGCTCCAAATATCACACTTACTCCCAGTGCATCATCCATAACATCACCAATTCAGTATCGTCGAAGTCATCATATCTCCATCATTTCGCTTATCGACTTCAATTGTGATCAACCATTCGTCATGAAAACTCTATGGACAATCAAAACCTGTTCAAACACATCATGCACACATACTATGCCATCTAATTCAGCCGTCAACACAAAATACACCGAACTCTATATCCCTCCAAACACACTTCCATATGGAATNTTTTCCTCAACTTAGGAAACGGTACATTCGCGTCTCAGAAGATCTACGCCACTGGTTATTCTTTATACGCTGTGACAACAGCTGATATTGATTCGGATAATAAACCTGATCTTATTGTTCCTAACGACGGCGGAAATAATGTCGGTGTTTTCTCATCTGGTTGCAACTGATCATTAAATTTAATATTGGATGTTTCCACCAGAAATCTCCAGCCCCTCCGAAAAATTTTTCGAAATTTAATGAAACTTTCAGCGTTTGTAAGTTCTCGATGCTGATTATTTTGGTAGTAAATAGTTGCGATTTTACTTTTGTCTTCTCTAATATATAGTAAAAATACTACTGACATTTTTTGGACTTATTTCATCCTCAAATTGATTTTTCTCTATGAAAACCGAATCAAATCTAATAATCAATATGATATTCTGAATCCTCGTGAAAATCTGCATCAGCAACACCTGAACTTTAGAAAACCGCTTGGTTCTTCAGAGGATTCAGAGAAGAACTCTGGGTTTTCATCAAAAGTGGAATAAACGAGAAATTCTACAACGGCAGTTTAGTAGGCCTGGTCATGCATTTTAATGTGTACTAGTCTGTTGTTTTCCCGACTTTAACCTCGAGGAAAGCAAACAGTCCAAGCATGATAAATTGATTTTTCGTAAAAAATCTTCATCTACACTATCTGTAACATGTAATTCCGTCATTTTAAAACCACCTGCAGTCCCATCGTTATCATCCGTAGCTCATAAAATTAAGTATTTTGATTGTTTTTCACCTGAAAAATTTTCATCGCCAAAGTTACTACCACTCAAAAGTTTACAAATCCTAAAAGTTTCATGAAAATCGGACGAGATCGCCAGATAGACCTGGAAATTCTTGGTGGATACACCCTACTATATGTACAGTAAAGCATCTAATAATGAGCATCTCTCCCACGCGATCCATCCGTTGTACTTAACACTCTACAGTCTTCCCCAGTGAATTTCACTGTTGTTGACCCTCTCCAATATGAAAACCTCGTGATTCTGAATTTGAATGGGTATAAGTGCAGTTTAATCACACCGTCTATTGAAATAGAGCGGCAGGGACGAGATGAGTTACATACGCATGCTACATACAAAACAGTATGTATCTTATTCTTGCATTTATGAGCAAATCAGAATGAATTCCACGCTTTACCTATCGTTATTCCACTATATATTCTCGTTTTGCACAGAACATGAAGAAGTCACGCTTTGGCTTGCATTAAACTGCTATCTCTGTCATTTTGTCACAACATACATAGAATAAATTGTCAGCATGCAAACTGTTTTTCGAATAATCGCTCACATGATATATTTACTGATTTGTTGATGGAAAATTTGTGCATGATTTGAGAATTTGTTGCTGATGCTCGATGATACAAATGGTTTGACATTCAACTTTTGTCTTATGCAACTTTTGCTGTTAGGTACGACAGAGATAACTTTATTGGCACTCTATAATTTGATTTAAATTCTTCTTCTGTGATGAGGAAGTCGGTGAAAGATCTTATGCATATGCATTGCTTTTTTATTGTTTCACTTTTTTTAATGACGACGTAAGATATTGGTAACTTTGACAACTAAAATTCAAACATTTGTTTTTAGCCTTAGAAGATGATAGTAATTCCAAGTGTTTCTGTTGATGACTAAAAGAGGATCGTTTTCTCTCAGTCAATACTGTTCATTATTAAACTATTATATTTTATAAGTTATACTTGTAGATCATTTCTCATTTTTGAAAACTTTCTAATGCAAACATTGTGTATTTACTTAAGTTTTCTATTCATAAACACTCGCAGCTATTTAATTCCTTGTAAAGAAAATAATATTTGTTTAATCGACGTCGAGAGAATTTTGGACAAGTAATTGGAGTTAGTATCACTATTTCGAACAAATCGCAACAAGTTATTCTCTATGAGTTCTAGACAACGTGAAACATTCCTAAACTCTTCATCACAATCTGGTGATAAATTAACACGTTAAAGGAGAAATACGAGAAAATTAACGCTTACAAAACGCACAGATTTTATCACGCGTATCTGACTTACCTTCAGTTTTCGAATTGATCGCAAGCAACTATACAACATGACAATCAAAGCTTTGCTATTGCTAGCGAAATTAGATTTCTGATGCATGAAGATCATTATTCTTGCAAATTTTCAAAACATCGGATCTATTGTTGTGATGAATTGCATTTATCGCCGAATACTCAAAATGTATCAAGGAATTAGTTCGGAAAACGTATAAAAGTATCAAGATTGCATAGTTCCTAAGTCACAGAATTCTTAAGAAAATATATCTTAAATCGTATATATAGACTTAAGTGTTGCGTATCTTCCCTATATGTAGAATACATAGACCAGTATGATCCTGTTTACAAATATATGAATTCATTGATGGTTAAAGTTTGTCAATCAGATCTTTGTTACAGAATATGATTTTCTGCTGAAAAGAAATATCTACAATCGTTTTTTGATCATTGTGAACAAGAGAATCCTTCGACTACAACTAATCCAGAGGACAAAGATCAATGCATGTAACTAGGCACCATTGTTTACTCTGTTCTGAAAAGAATTTAATCATTCTTGCCTTTTGAATGATAATCGCTTGTTTATAGTCAGACCGTATAATGATGAAACTTATGTTACGTCTGCTGAACTTGCTAATTTTTTCATGCTTTCACTCAAATATTTGCTAAAACTATTCGAAATTATTACCACTAAAGTGCCATGATGATCCTTCCTCTAATCTTTGAATAAACACACATACACATGCACTTTCAAACCGTTTTTTACTTTAATGATGACAGTGGTTCCTATATGTTGAACTAAACAACAGAGGAAGAAACAAAAGTAAATCAAATTCTATCTTTATATCCGTATGTGTGTTTTTCTATAATAAAAATTCTCCGTACCATATCTCTAGATTTGTTTACATATCCCTTGTTTCATATTTTCTCTCCAGGAAGCAATGCTTCTCCAAATAGTCCCATTGACGTCAGCACTTTTGGAATGGATTTCATCCATACACAAATCGTTCATGATTTACTTATCCAGAATTCAAACGCATTGTTTGAAGTTTTTCCTGCAACTGTTATTCCTTCCGTTTGACCTAGCCGAAAAAGTTGTATTCGATCATTTCCAGAATCAGCCACATATAAAGCAAAGTTATCACTGACAAAGATTCCACAGGGGGCAGCGAATCGATCCGAAGATGAGCCCTGCATACCGTGGATACTTCCGGCTACTGTTGTTGCTATCATTGTACTANGATCAATTGGATTGCTGGACATCCTAAAATGAGTCAACGCTTTCGAGCACTTGTTAATCATGACGGTTTATTTGATATGCGCGAAATGGCCTATGTTACAGAAGAATTATGGTTCACTGAACATGATGCCGGTGGTTTTCCTCAATATGTAAATCCTGAAGCATACGAGAAATTCAATCCAGTCAATCACGTAGCCAATTGGACACAACCAATGCTTGTTATTCAAGGTGGACGCGACTATCGCGTACCTGATACGCAAAGTATCGGCACATTTACTGCTTTACAACGTCAAGGAATACCCAGTCGTATGCTATATTTTCCAAAAGAAAACCATTGGACATTGAATGCATTCAATTTGGTAGTTTGGTATCAAGAAATTTTTGATTGGATGAAACAATGGACAGACTGATCTTTTTTTTGCCAATATTAATAGATTAAACACTCCGCTATCACACCATGAAAAGGATGAGAAAATTTGGGAATTTGTTTACACATTAAAATGTACCAATAAAGACGAGCAATAATAGTCTGTAATCTTCTCCTTTCTGTCACAAAGAAAAAAGTTTTTTCGCTATTCCTTTGATTAAAAAACAGCAACTGCAGCTTGCTAGTTTATGTGAACTAGTTGTTTGCATTCTGCTTTACGGTTGCCGTCAAGTTGTTCATCGACAAGTCAACTATATAAAAATAGAAAGCGGAATATACAGAGCAATTCATTTTAAGCAAATTGATATCTTCCCTTGAAGTTTTGGCTGTTTTGAAGAATCCTTTGTTGAGTTTCGCTTGCAGTTCGTTCCATATTTACAATATTTCGCCTCTTGGTACATACCCCTACGATTTTCTAGCGAATACACTACCTAAAAATATCACGATAAACATTTGAAAATCATACCAATATAGAGAGTGCGCATAAATTATTTGCATATAACTAATGAAAGCTCGTTTTTCATGAAGAATATGCTTCATTTATTTTAGAACTGAACGTACAAATGTCGGCAAGTAAATTATTTCTGTTTGTCATTTTTCTCATGGTAAAACAAACAATTTCACAAGACATACGCGCTGTAGATATATCTATCGTCAACGGTACACAATTTCATTGTGCTACCACGACATGTTTACCATTTAGTAAAAACGTTGTCTTGGATATTTTCAATTGTCAAATAAACTGTTTAGCAGTATTTCAATGCCAAGCAGCTCGTTTCAATCAAGTCACCCAGGAATGTGCTCTGTTTGGTGTTTTATACGGCTTTAATGGTACTATGGTGTCTGATATAAATAGTATTACACTGATTGTCTCGACTGGAATGCGAACTCCATCAGGTAGAGCAAAACTTGAACGCTAAGGATTTTTCTGTTTATTTCTGTAGAATCTGAAAGCAATTGGATTGTTAATGGTGATGCAGAAATCGGTCCATGTAATACGATGAATAATGTCTTACATCCAACAGATTGGAATTATAGTGGGGCAGTTACACAGGTGACATATAATAATCCGGCGGCAAATCAAAAAACAACGGATCCAGGACCAAGGTAACGAAAAAGTCAAAATTTCAAAATTTCTCCTTTTTTGTTTTGTTCAGTAATCGTGGAAGGTGTCATTTTTATGGACAAACATCAGCCGTAACTACGATGTGGCAAGTTATTGATATGACAACAGCAATTAATCCTGCTCAACTTGATAATCAAACAATAGAGTTCGACTTTTCGGCGTGGATCGGTGGCTATATGGATCAAGATGACAATGCCCGAGTATCTTTGACATTTGTCAATCAAGCAAATCAAACTGTAGGTAATACTACAACACTTGGTCCAGTCTTAGCTGCAGATCGGGCCGGTATAACGTCTCTACTCTATCGACAAATTACTGGACAGGTACCTGTTGGTGCTCGTTCTTTTAAAGTTTCAGTTACAATGACTCGTGTGAATGGCACGACTAATGATGGTGATGTTGATAACATTGTCCTTCGATTGTATTGATGTTGTTTAATGCTGAGTATGAAGCGTTGCAAATAAATATTATTCAATAAAATTTCAACACGTATAGAATACTTAAAGGTGTGAGGATAAGGGTAGAGAATAAATGCAATCGCTTCCTTCTGCATTCTCACTCTAAAATAGTAGATATTGTTTGGTAAATGTTAGAAGGAAGAATAACATTTATAAGAACGAACAAAAGTGCATCATGGCTAAGAATACTTCTTATTTTCATCAAACTTTACGTTGTTTTGGTTATAAAACTTAGATATTTACATTAAATTTTTCTCACCTTCAAGATAATGGAGCAACTCTCTATCAACGATGATGAACACACGATCATGGTTTGTCTCTGTTCTCACGATTGGATCATTTAATTATCTCTCACAAAACCGTCGATTCGTGTATAAAACTCAGTCCAATCTAATGAGGAGGAAAAGAAAATATTTCTAATTGTTTTTCATGCATTTATTTCCGAGATTTTATCAAATATTCCAGTTTTTCAACCAAGTCGATCGTTTATTTATATGTTATCCAAAACTTGATGATTACAAGTATACTTACCATGATGAAATTGATCGGCTATGCTCATCAATTAAAGAAGAGCTCGATTTAAGTGACGATCATAATTCCAAATGGATCTTTTATAATCCAACGTTTGCGATGAAAAGAGACTTATCGAAAAACGCCAATAATTTTCTATGTATTTATTTGTTTCACGAACTCCTTCAGTACTTCCCACGTGATGACCGAGCTAAACAACAATTCAAACAGCCTTCGAAAATGCATTACGAGAGCAAAATATCGATGAACTTTACCAGCTGCGATATTTCCTTGCTGGTCTGTATGATTGAGGATTTAAACACTCAACATGAACAACCCCAGTGTCTTGTTTATCAATCGATGAAGCTGAGTCGAAACGAATTGAAAAAGTTCTCCGAATATCAAGGTAAACTCTTATTATATAAAGGAGTTCTGTTTGCAAGCCAGATGTATCCTCAGAAACGAACTAATGTTCTCTTGAAAATTGAAAGTAACGTCAATTACTCGAACGAACGACAAGACACTCTTTTCGATTTCAATACCACATTCAAAATCAAAGATGGTCAACAACTTTATTAACAATGGTTCGTACAATTAGCGACAGTCGACGATGGATTATTAATCACGCAGAAATGCATTCAGGATACACGTCGTCGATGAGATAATTGCGACACTTCGAATCTAATTATTCGGTAAATTTTTGTTCGATATGCGTCAATGGAATCGAGCGAAGGTCTATAGCGTGGATTGAGGAATCGATTGGTACAATTCTTTACTGGAAATGTCAATGGAAGGAAGCTTGAGTGTATTACGATTGAGACTATGATCGAATGATAAAACACAACCCATCACGTGTCAAAGATTCAGCCATGGTACTGCACAGTATTAGGGATATTTTGAGACTAGAAGGAAAACTTGACGAATCTTATGAATTCCATGAGAAAGCATTAGAAATTCGAAGGAAGTTCTATTCTTCAGATCATACAGCGATTACTGACAGTTTAAATAATCTTTATAGCTTCTTGGTCGATCAGGGTGAACATGGAAATATTTCGTCTAATGAGGAGCGCATAAGGTCAATCTATAAAGATTCTTATCCGCCTATGCATTATGAAGTTGCTGAAGGATATCTTCGTGGAACACCGAAGTATGATAAAGCAACAGATTGCTATCAACAATCGTTGAGAATGTTAGAAGAATTTTATCCACCATATATTCCGAGTATAACGTCTACACTTAACAAAATGGGAATTCTGCTGAAAAGGCAGAGAAAATATGAAGAAGCTTGTAATTTATTTGATTGAGCTCTACTATTACTTGAAGATTATTATTCATCGGATAGTGTTCAATTAATTTCGATTCTTATAAATATTGGTCACGCTTTGCTCAATCAAGCCGAACTTGATGAAACTCTTTCCGTCTACCAATGAGTTATTACTATTAAACAAAAAACCTACTCGTCTGATCATATTTCTCTTTCAACTAATTAGAACTTCATAATATTCAGACGACAGCAATGTCCTTTTTTACTGTGAAGATGTTCTATTCTCATTGTACTTTGCTATGTACTATGGGAAAAATCATACGCTCAGGCATATAGACGAGGCAGCACTTTTTTTAGAAGAAAATCCTAAAAAGTAAAAAGCGCTCAATCACGACTCGAGTATAGACTACATGTGACATAAAAAGCGCATAAAAGCTTCAAGACGTTAGATGAAATAACACACATCTATTAAACACTTGAATACAATTCAACAGAATGATATCATGATATTTCTCAGTATATAAAGACATGGAGAATAGCATTGTGTTAACAGTCTTTCATATTCAATCTCATTTTTCTTTTTGAATCGCAGCTCTACATTCTGATTAACTGAAAACAACACATCATGCGCTATATTCAGTATATATCTCTTTTGACATATTTTCATGCCATATGTACTGATGTAAAGTCGCGTATAGATCTATATCGAAGCGGCTTCGATTTTATCCCAGCTAATTCAGTTGAATTGTTAGCCACATATTCATCAGTTAACAGTTATTTTAACTGCGGCATATTGTGCAATCAAAATCCTCAATGTCGGACGTTTGTTTATGATACACCTATGTGCGAACTTTTTGAAGGCGCCGTTACTACTGGTTCCATTGTTAGTTCGCCATCGACTACTCGTCTTGTTGGCGCAGTTAACTACAATGGAATTAATGTTTCGTCTGCTTACAACAAATCATGCAGTTATTGTTATCCTGACCGATATCTTGTATGTACCAACGGCACATGTCAGTGTCCACCTGGTACGTACTATGATAATCAAGGTAATTGTATCAATCAAATCTACGTCAATTCAACAACGACATGTCAAGCTAATAATTGGTGTAATCAACAGTTGAATTTGACTTGTCAATGTGGTCAATGTCAATGTCCATTTCAACAATTTTGGAAAAATAAAACGTGTGTGCCACAATTGCTTGCTGGAAAACCATGCACTACAAGCAGTGAATGTCGTAATGATCTTAATCTTGTTTGTTCACGGAAAAACAAAACATGTATACGTATGTTTATCACATCGTGTGCTTTTTCACATCCTCTGATTTATATTTCCTTTTAGCTATGACTGTCGTGACAATTCCTGTCATAACTGGAACGCTTCCGAGTGTATTCTCTTACGTTGATGAATCGCTCAACACTTCCGGCGTAGAATGGTGGCGAGGCTTCGATGGTGATATTTATACTTACTGGAACAGACTTGGCAGTTACAACGTGTTGGATTATTTATTTTTAACTTTTAATGATACCTATCTACTGAATTCCTTACAATTAACGGTATACGGTGATCAAACACATGATCCCAAAACAATTAGTGTATATACTGATGAAAATGGGACCTGTTTCGGTCAAGCGTTCTCGTTTCCAAATGTCAGTAGCTTTACTACATTTCCAGTGAAAAATTTCAATAATAGCACGAGACCCATCGCAACAAATCACGTACTAATTTCGATTGAACGATGGTCGACATTTCAAACTTACTTATTTGAATTAACATTTTTTGGTGGCTTATATTAACTATAAGAATGAAAATCAGTTTTGACAGTTCTCCTAATTTCTGAAGCAAATAATCGATTGTAAAATCTTTAAACACTCAATTTCAATTCATTTCAAATAAATATTTTTATCAACCTAATAAACTCCTGAGTTTTTTCTTTAAAGTACCATTAATAATAGATGTACATTCAATTTCCTGAGCAAAAAAAGAATTGATTCTAAACTATAAATGTGAATCTACTTTACACCAGCTTGTTTATAAATGGATGCTTTTAAAAGAAATACACCGGCACATGCTATAGTTGAATTGAGAATAGTTCTCATAACGGCGAATAAGTAGTTGTTAAGATGCAATCTGACGCCAGTTAGTTATTATGCATGGAAAAATAGAGTCATAAATACAAACATAATGTGGGTGTATATGTGATTTGTTAGTTTATATTTAATAATAGCACATACACGTCCACGTACATTTGAACTGATATTTAGTACTCATTTCTATTGAGAGTTTTCCAACTTTGGCATAATAGATATCTCCTTTTAGGAAAAGTGCCATGATTATAATCTAGAAATGGTTTCTCATCTATAAATAGACTTAAATTACAGCTCTTCAAAATGTTTTATACAATGTTCAAGATTATGGATGAAATCTAAAGTACTTGAGTATGATCAAGTTTGTTAAAGAGAATTCAGATATTACGAATGCAAATATAGATTGCTAAACCCGTCGCATAGAATTTGAAACTATTGGCAATTTTTGCAACAAGCACATGTTTGTTCACATATACTTTTACGTCTTGATAAGACGAGAAGCTCTGCTGAAAATTACTAGTAACAATGGGATGTAAACATATAATTTGACTCGATAATGGTAATGATTCTTCTACATTCAAAGAGAAAACAAGAAAAAGGTTAAATAAATGAAACCTCAGTTTGTTCTATGTGTGTCTGTTTCTCTAGTCGTCATTTTTCTTGTCATGCCTCTAAATTTATTTGCATATCCCTCGTTTCATATTTTCTCTCCAGGAAGCAATGCTTCTCCAAACAGTTCCATTGACGTCAGCACTTTTGGAATGGATTTCATCCATACACATATTGTTCGTGATTTGCTCAGTCAGAATACAACTGCATCTTTGTTTAAATGTAATTTTTAATTGTTTTCCGTCGGAGAATTTTGTGTATACTCAGAAAAAGTTTCCTTTTCAATCAACTCCTATTATAAATCAATATTTGAATCCGATTTATTTAACAAAGAAATAAGAGAGATGTTGCTGTCCAAGATTTCTCTATGTGCAATGTTTAATAACTTGTAGCGATATGCTTACACAGAAAGTGTTTATTGACGCCATAGAGAAAGAGAAAGAGTGAACTGTCAGTTCAATTTCATTTCATTTCTTCCTGGTATATCACTAAGAAAGATGTCGGTTGGTGATTTGTTCTTCTGGCTGATCTTGCTGAGTATTGCAGAAGCATCAAGTAAGTCACTGATTAGTAACAGAGTTCACTGAGCAGTGTCCGTCACTGAGATATATTTTAGTATAAAACTATCTAAATCATTTAGATGTTTCGTACAATCAACCAAAACTGGATGCTTATGCAGTGTGGAATCCAAATGCGATCCTTTTTGCAAATTCGTCCGTGGTCGGCGCCAATCCTCGTGGTCTTTTTGTTGATACGAATGACACGATCTATGTTGTTGATCAAACAAACAGTCGAACTCTGATTTGGTTCAACAACAGTATAAATCCAACAAGAACAATCTATGGCGATATGAGCAAACCTATGTGCATCTTTGTAACAACCAGTGGTGACATGTACATTAGTGATTATAATGCGAATAATCAAACTCGTAGATGGTCACAGAATTCAAATGGTAGTAGTCTTGTGATGTCTACTAGTTCAGGATGTTATGGTTTATTCATTGATACCAATAACTCGTTGTATTGTTCACTTTATCTTGCCCATCGAATTGTGAAGCAGTGGTTAGGTAGCAATGCATCGGCAGTGATAACGATTGCTGGGAATGGATCAAGTGGATCTGGATTGAATCAGCTTTACAATCCTGGTGGAATCTTTGTCACTACTGATTTTGATTTATATGTAGCTGATTACAGAAACAAGCGAATTCAACTTTTTCAACCTGGTCAATCTAGTGGAATAACAGTTGCTGGAAGTTTATCAATAAACGTTACAGTCACACTACAAGGCCCGAATGCTGTCATACTGGATGCCGATAATTATCTATTCATAACAGACGGCTCAGCGGGTAGGATTATTGGATCAGGGCCAAATGGTTTTCGATGCATCGTCGGATGTTCTGGTTCATCGGGTAGCTATACTAACCAACTATCAGGCCCGTGGAATCTGGCTTTTGATAGTCACGGGAATCTATATGCGAATGAATGGAACAATTATCGCATTTTGAAATACACTTTATTGAATAACACTGAAGGTAAGAACTGTTGAAAACTAACAACAATCACTGATACATGTCGACGTCTTCAAGACATTAAGTCTATTCAGGATGATGAATGATATGGAAAAGGAGTGAATATCGAGAATTCATATATTGATCGCAATATCATACAAAATCCAAACGAAAAGATCAGTCTTTCGTTTTGTTAAATAAATTTACATGAGTTTTCGCAAGGCATGACCTTCTACTTTCTACTATTTTAGTGAAATCATATAACCAACCGAAATTATGTTCTAATGCCACTTGGAGTGAAAATGGAAGTACGTTTGCCAATCGAAGTATGGTTGGTAGATATCCATCAGATATATTTATTGATATCAGTGACTCGATTTATATCGTTGATAACGACAATGATCGAATTCAAGTATGGTTTAACAATAGTATTAATCCAACGCGTACAATTTCAGGCATTTCGTTCAATGTGAGCTCCATATTCGTTGCAAACAATGGCGATATTTACATTGATAATGGTATTTCGAATGGCTACGTTAACAGATGGATAATAAATACAAACAGTAGTACTCCTGTTATGGCTATTAATTCATATTGTTCTGGCTTGTTTATTGACAGAAGTGATACGCTATACTGTTCACTCTCTACTCAAAATAATGTTGTCAAAAAATGGTTAGGTGATAGCACAACGATAGCAACTACAGTGGCCGGAAATGTCAACGGTGCTAACGGCTCATCTTTGGATCGATTATCTGGCCCACGCGGAATCTTCGTGAATGATGATTTCGCATTATATGTGGCTGATTCTCAGAACGACCGAATTCAATTGTTTGAATTAGGTCAATCTAATGGCGTAACAGTTGCAGGAAATACTTCCCTTAATATCACAGTCATACTGGATACTCCGACTGGAATTACGCTTGATGCTGACAATTATTTATTTATTATGGATCGTGATAAGGAACGGATAGTCAGATCGACCTCAAATGGTTTTCAATGCATAATTGGATGCGACGGTGGCAGTCAATTGTCTTATGCACAGAAGATGGCTTTCGATAGCTCTGGAAATATATATGTGGTCGATTCCGGAAATGATCGTGTTCAAAAATTCCTTTTCACAAGCTCTTCATGTAGTGAGTATCAAAATTTAATTGAATATTAGATGTATACAAGTATATTCTATACATTTTCGAAGAATAAGTACAGGAAATCTTTTTCATCCAAATTGATTATTATTAGTGTAGCAAAATAAATCTTACTAGTCTCTTTTCGATTGCTATAACTAATGCAACTGTTGCTATAATAAACACACGCTATTTTTTACGAAAAAAATATCAGGTCCAAAAAGTGATTTATCTGTATAAATCTTTGTTAGCACAAGTCGCATCCACACCTATGCCCACATCCACATCCACGTCCACGTCCGAATCCACATCCACGTCCACGTCCGAATCCACATCCACGTCCACATCCACATCGGCATCCACGTCCACGTCCGAATCCACATCCACGTCCACGTCCGAATCCACATCCACGTCCACATCCACATCGGCATCCACGTCCACGTCCGAATCCACGTCCACGTCCGAATCCACGTCCACGTCCGAATCCACATCCACGTCCACATCCACATCCACATCCACATCGGCATCCACGTCCACGTCCGAATCCACGTCCACGTTCACATCCACATCCACGTCTACGCCCATGACCACGTCCACATACACATCAGAATCTTCATCAAGATCAATCTCAATATCGTCATCGACGCATACAGCACCGCTCACGCTCTCAAATGTCACAGATGGGCCCACGCCTACCTATCCACCTACAATCAGCATATTGTCATCTGTATCGTCAACTCTGACAAGCACAATTGCAACAACTACGACGACGTCAACCATATCGCCGGTATCAAACCAAGGTAACTGTTTTCGTATTCTAGGAGATACGAAAGAAGTAATGCATTCTAGATTGTTCCGCTCCAAATGTCACGCTTACTCCCAACGCATCATCCACAACATCACCACTTCAGTATCGTCGAAGTCACCATGTCTCCATCGTTTCGCTTATCGACTTCAATTGTGATCAACCATTCGTCATGACAACTCTATGGACAATCAAAACCTGTTCAAACACATCATGCACACATACCATGCCATCCAATCCCGCCATCAACACAAAATACACCGAACTCTATATCCCTCCAAACACACTTCCATATGGAATCTATAACTTCACTCTCACTGTTTCTGTTCCAGGATTCTCAACAGTGTCATCTGTCCTCATTGAAATAGTCAGATCAGCCATTATCGTCAATCTCGTTCAACTGGGAACACTCATGATCACACGTGGGCATCAACAAGATCTCCTCATCAATCCAGGAGCATATTCGCTTGATCCCGATGGATTCGCGTTCAACACTAGTGTAGGATCGTCTCTTCTTCACATAGATCACTCATCTCTTTCTCGACATGTTGTATGTATAGGAATGGACCTACAGATACTTTTGTCGAATCTATGGTGTGACATCGTTTCCACAGTTCCAAGGCGCGCTATTAACAATCGATGATCCGAGAAATGACTCCGCCAATCCGTCGTGCTTGTCGAATCGAACAGGATGGAGATACGACAGTCCCATCAACTCATCACTTCGCATTCTTTCTCATTCGCTCCAGTCCGATCGAACATACCAGTTCATGGTCATCGTGCAGAATATTCAAAATATCAACAGACAAGCGACTGGCTTTGTTCTTGTCAACGTTGAGAACACTCCTTCATCGACGATTGCCATCGGGTAAACATTTCTGGTTGTTTGTTTACAGCACACGAATCTGTGACATTCTAGATGTGTGATATCGACTATGTGTGTTGCCAATTCAGACTATCAACTTGTGAACCCTTCGACACAAGTCGCTCTCTTTTCGTTTTGTGTCGAGAACTGTTCGACAGCTGAGAGTATCCAGTGGAAGGTATATTATGGAATGAGAAATGCATCATCCAATACCACCCAGTGGTATCTCTTCAATCAGACAAGTCGCTATACCAATAGTTGGTTTTTTGGTGTGGACACAACGAACTTCACATCAACAAGTCAGCTGTTTTCCACCTATGCACAGTGGACAATGTGGCGATTCGAAGTAGTGTACACATTCGCCACAGACATCAGTTCGAGCTCATTGGATTTCGTCATCAATCAGTCGCCGAGCAATGGCTCGTGTTCCATCGATCCACCTAATGGTATGACAACGACCCTGTTCGACGTGACATGTTCAGACTGGTTTGATAGTGATGGCATCAAAGACTATTCACTTTTCAGTAAGTTTTCCCGAGCATAAGCAATAGATAATTGATTCTCGTGTGAATGTTTAGTCTGGACGAGCGACCCATCGAAACAAACTCTCATCGCATACTCATCGGTGTCAACATTCCAAGTTCAGTTGCCATCAGGCGATGATCCGACGTATGAAGTGCATCTGATAGTTGAGATTCGTGATGAGCATGATTGTTTGACAACATACAATCTGTCATCATCGATTTCTGTTCAGTCTGATTGGAGCGAAATGAACGACTTCATCAAAAGTGTGCAAAACGTTTCGAATCTCGAGATCATTGACAGCTCGTTTGCTCAATTACTCGGCAGTGAAAATCAGAATGTTGTCGGGCAAGTGATTACTCTGCTTTCGAATGAGTTCAACAGAATCAGTGATGAAAACATGACGAAAGCTATTTCAAGTGAGTTGTTGTCACATAGTTGACCAACAGATGATCCTTGTATTCCGATCTAGATGGTCTACCATCAACAAGTATCTCAGTGTCACCTTTGGGAAGTTCCAGTTCTCAACAAGTAGAGCACTTTCTTTTACTTTTGCTTTCGAATCAGTCTAACGGTTGATTTCTGCTTACTAGAACTCAGTAGCACTGAATGTGACTGCCTTGAATGAGTACAAGAATGAAGTCAACTCGTATGCACAAGTTCGAGAATACTTGATGCGATTCATTCCAAATCTGCCTATCACAACATCCAAGAGTATCCAGTTACAAGCATCAGCCATTGTGCAATTGACCAAAACAACAAATCAACTAACAAGAAACACTCTCGTAAGACTATTTGTTTCTCGTTCGAAAATCATCGAATCACTGTGTTGAATGTGTCGACAATAGACAATTGCAATAGATCGATGTTATAAGTTGACAATAGCCCTGTCCTCGTTGACGAGAGAGATGACACCAGAGGACACAAGTGCAATCGTAACTCTGCTAATGCAGTGTGCTTCGAATGTGTTAACAGTAAGAGACGTGTTTCGTTTACTCTGGATTGCTATACTTACGAGCTGCATTGTAGGCAGTGAGTGGTCCATTACAAGAGAGAATGATGGTGTTAGATGCTGATTTTGTACGTGCAACATCGTTTCCTCAAGATTATGATTCTGATCTGGAACTGCCATGGTCAAATCTCAGTAAGATGTGCATCACTCGGCATCGCACTCTTTTCTATGTCTTGTGATTCTTATATTGAAAGATTTATTTGCTGATGGAAACGACTTTTCGTGGTCGACGATCGAAAAGAATCGAAATCGTTATTACCAGCAACAACTGTCGAATGACATTATCTCGAAAACAAATCAAATCATCTCATTACTGACCACATCACTGAATACGAACTTGAATATCGAACAGAGCTTCGTTGTGAACACATCACAAGTGTTCATGTCACTGGAACGAAGATCATTTCAATCACTGCTGAATAAACAAATGAGAGCACCTGCAAATGCACACATCAATCTTCCATCGACACTGCCAATCAGTGTCAACAACAATCAGACAGTTTCCATTCGAGTAAAGTTCATCTTCTATCTCGAATTGATTCTTGATAACGTGAGTTTGGTGTTTGTAGCTACTGATGGAACCACTCTCACCTGCTGGTCAATCTCAGTCGAACACCAATCTTTCCACATCGATCTCACTGACCATTCTCGACGACGACGGACAAGAAATCCCTATGAAAACAGCTGATAACACTTCCATCGAAATCATCATTCCTCGAGATCCAAATCTTGTCATGCCATCGATGATCTTGTACAATGTCACTTCTGTCAACTCCACTGATGACTCTCATCATCATCAACTGTTCTATTCTCACTACGTTAATATCACCACTTCTCTTCCAGTATCAGTTCACCTGGAGATTCGACCATTAAATGTGAATGTATCCTATTTGTTAATCTACAGATTCGATGGCATACCACAGCTGAACAGCTCGATGAGTCAAATCGATGGATGGACACTTCTTTGTTCATCTACTTTGACAAATGAAAGTGTGTACAGATACTTCTATGACAATGAACAAACAGTAGGTTATCGTTCGTTGGTCATTGGTCTCCGTGAACTTGGTTCTGCTAGTGATTGTTTGCGCTCATCGACTGCCAGTCAACCACCCATAACTGATGAAGTGTACAACTTCACGTCGAACTATGAGATACGAATGTACACATCCGGTTGTTACTATCTTGACGGAGGCAACGAGTGGAGAGCAGATGGATTAGTCGTTGGATCATTGACTAATCACTATCAGACACAATGTTATGCAAAACATTTGACTAAATTCACGGGCAGTTTCAATGTTCTACCTCAGCCAGTCAATTGGCAGTATGTGTTTGCAAATGCAGATTTCGCTCGCAATAAGACTATTTACTTGACGATCATTAGTGTATCAGTGATCTATGTGCTGCTGATCATCTATGCTCGTTACTATGACAAGAAAGACTTACAAAAACTAGGAGTGACGCCCTTGCCTGACAATCATCCATCCGATGAGTATTACTATCAAATCATTGTTTTCACTGGTCAGCGCAACGATGCAGGAACGAAATCGAATGTGCACTTCATTTTGTATGGTCTGGATGATCAGACATCAGTTCGAACACTGGCTGATCCACATCGTCGAGTTCTGCAACGTGGTGGCATCGATGCTTTCATCATGTCAGTGCCAAAGTCACTGGGTTTGTTGAACTGTATTCGTATTTGGCATGACAACACTGGCAAAAGTTCGGCATCATGGTTTCTGAAGTATGTCATTGTTCGCGATCTACAGACTATGGAGAAGTTCCACTTTATTGCACAACGATGGTTTGCTGTGGAAAAAGCTGATGGAAAGGTAGACGGATCTGACTTTGAATATATATAATCATTCTTTTACATTGCGATGTTAGATCGAACATGTGTTGCCGGTGGCTGGTGCAGCAGAGAAGAGTGACTTTTCGTATGTCTTGTCGAAGAAGGCATATCACAGTGTATCGGATGGTCATCTATGGTTTTCGATTTTTTCTCGGCCACCCTCGAATCAGTTCACGCGTGTTCAACGATGTACCTGTTGCTTTGTTCTCTTGCTTGTGTCAATGTTCTTGAACATCATGTACTATGACTTGCAAAACGAAGGCAAAACGAGTGCGAACATCTCATTCGAACAGGTAGAGAAGCGACACTAGTCGATGATTTTGTTGAAGATGACACGGTGCATGCGTTTAGATCATCATTGGTGTGATTGTAGAAGTGTTCTCACTGATTCCAAGTCTTTTACTCATACAGATCTTCCGACGACTTCGCTCTCGTCACAAGTCACTTTCGCCATTACGAAAGATCTTGTACGAAATCAATCCTTCGCTAACAAAACAACAAGTCAAACCGAAGACAAAACACACGTTCACATTTCCTTGGTGGTTTATATTCATTGCATATGGCCTGTGCTTCCTGTTGGTGGCAACCTCGATGTTCTTTCTCATCGTTCGCGGTATCGAGTTTGGTGATGTGAAAACTCAGAAATGGCTAGTGTCCATTCTTAGTGGCTTTCTCTCCTCGGTCCTGTTGACTCAGCCACTGAAGGTAATGTGTGAAGAGTGAGAATATAAGAAGATGATGTTGACATTCGTGTTGTAGATTGTTGCATTGGTAGTCGTGTTTGCATTCTTCTGTCAAAAATCGCACGATGATCAAGAAGCCATGGAATATCTGGATGAGAACGAATTGCATTTGGAGCGAGATGAAGAATATCTGCACGAGAACAATCTATCACTAGTTGACTCTCGTTCAACAATCGTACATGCACGACTGACTGATGCAGAAGTGGCATCAGCACGTGACCGTCGACTGAAAGAAATGCAGATGTGGTCGATCCTTCGAGAAGCACTTGTCTATCTCATCTTCTTTTCCACTCTCTCAGTTCTCATCTATTCTCAAACTCAACTCAACTCATTTCTCCAAGTGGATCATCTGCGAAAATATCTCTGTAATCCACGACAGCCAGATCTCGACTATCAGCAGGTTTGTTTGTGTATTCGCTTCTATTCGATAGACATAGTTGACGAAGTGCTGTCATGTAGATATCGAACCAGGCCGACTTTTGGTCATGGCTGGAAGAGAGTTTTGTTGAGAACATTCGTGCACAACAATGGTACAATGGTGAGCCACCTCGAAATCTCAGTGGTTTCATGAATGATAGAACGAATCGGCTACTTGGTTGGATCACCATGCGACAAGTGCGAGTCAAAACTCATCCATGTTCACCCATGCGAAGTCTCCACTTCATCTGCCAGTATGATTACAGTTCTCGAACTGAACAAACCGACTCATTCGATCCTGGATGGATCAATCAAACACAAACTAGCAGCTCCGATTCCATACTTAGTCAAGCATTTCAATATAAATCCAAGGATGTCTTGGATACTTATCCTATAAGCGGAAGATTCGGTCGATATGGTGATGGTGGATATGTGTATGAGTTTCGTGGTCGACTAGCTGATATTCGGATGAATCTGACAAAACTTCACGAATATCAGTGGATCGATGATCAAACACGAGCAGTGATCATCCAGTTGAGTTTATACAATCCCAATGCTCAGCTATTCACTTCGATTATTCTGCTCACTGAGTTTCTCTCTACCGGTGGAGTTGTCACACAATCAACGATCGAACCTATCCAGTTCTATGGTAAGTGTGCTTTCTCTTTTTTCGATCGACGAACAGTTGTTCACCTATGTGATCCTTATTGTTTTAGCATTCACATCGTTGAGTCAATTGATCTGTTTGATTGTTTACATACTGTTCATAGTGTATCTGATGATGAAACAAGTGCAGTTGAAATGGCAAGCATTCACTCAGTTCTGGTCACTGCTCGATTTTGGTGTCATTATTTGTTCGTGGGTGGGCGTGGCGATGTATGTGTGGCGGTATGTTGAGTATAGTCGTATTGGTCAAGTGTTTGCTGAGACCAATGGGTATACATACATCAATCTGCAGTTGTTAACATACATCAATGAGGTGTTGAGATGTGTATTCAGCTTCAGTTGTTTCTTTGGTACGATCAAGTTCATTCGTTTGTGTCGATATAACTATCGAGTTTATTTGTTCATCGAAACACTTCGGATAGCTGTACGAGAGCTGATTCCATTTTCGTTGATGTTTTCGGTGGTGTTTTTATCGTTCAACTTCCTGTTCTATCTGTTATTCGTGTCGAAACTTGCAGCGTGTGCAACGTTTCTGGGAACAACACAGATGTTGTTTGAGATGACACTGATGCAGTTTGATGGCGACGCATTGCTGGATGCAGCTGCGTTTCTTGCACCGTTTTGTTTCAGTTTGTTCGTGTTTGTGGTGGTGTTCACTTGCATGTCAATGTTCTTGTCGATTGTTAATCGAAGCTTTAAGAGAGCCAACAAAAACGCAGGCGATGTCGAACACGTATACTCGTTTATCCTGAATCGATTCTTGCAATGGACAGGTAAGAGATGAATGAATGTGAAACAAAGTCACTAAAGATTAATGTGAATAGGTTTGAAAGAACAGGATGACGATGAAAAGCATGATACATCGATACGACAAGAATACTTTGATTCAGTTGCAAATTTTCCCGAGAAAATGGATCAGTTATTGGGAGCATTGAATCGAGTAAATATGTCGTTGATTTTGTTTAGCGTGCACCGAATCGTTGTTTGATTTGTATTTGTAGGTGTACATGGATCAAAAGACGGAAAAGGAAGAAATAATACTTTAACGTTTATAGTATATGTTCGTTTATGTCGTGAAAGTCCGTTTTTCATTGTTCCTAGTTATCCAGCTCGAATTGTGGTTATGTTTACGGTATGCATATAGCTGCTTTCTAGTGTAGTATATGTTGTAAATTGAAAGAATATTCAACCAAATCAAACGATGTTCGGTTGTGTGAGAACCAAAAATGAAAAGTCAAACAAACTGAAATGCAAAAACTCCGGGGCTTCACTAATGATATCGCTCGCCATCTTATGCTGAAGACGTTGAAATTGATCAATGAAATAGTTGAATTCTCTAAAATTCAACGAGGAGAGAAAAAATACCGAAAATACGACCAGTTACGTGTAGGGCACATGACCACGTAAAGTGACAGTTCGTGGTAAAAGAATCCGGGTCTATGGGTCGAAAAAAAAGGCGGACCCGCTACTCCCTAGTCTTCACATTCAGTACTGATTATTGATTTTAATTTGCTGTTATGTTTAGTAAAATACTTATGAAAAATGAATTCAAACTCTCGCCATTGAAAGCATCTTTAGAATGACTTCACAGAAATCATATGATTGTATGAGATAGAGTCTTCAAATCGGAGCGTCAGGATATTGTCGGAAAAGTCAAAGATTGTTCATTTCTTTGTTAAAACTTTGGTATACCACCAGTTTTAAAATAGAAATAATTGCACTAAATCATCAGTTTTAAGCAGATTACTTATGGTCTTGGCTCTAAAATGATCACGAGATACACAAGGAGTATAGTTCTCTTTGGGATTTGCAGTAACAAACAACGTAACTAAATTGTGACTTCTATAGCTAAGATTCATAATTTTCTATGCTTGTGCGTGCTTCACACATGAGTATGAATAGCTATATTATCAGAAATTTCACGCTTCTCATAAAAATCTCTAGGCGACATTTTCATGTTAATATTTCAAAATCTATTTACTTGAGTGAAGAGAGAATCAGAAACAAAATGATGAACAAAATGAAATCGAGGTTTATAATCCATCATTAGCGATTTTTTCGATAGACTGTTACAGGAAAATCACTTGTATACCTTCGCCTAATTCTTGTAGCAATCAGTGAAGCGAAAAGTCATACAGATGCCCAAGTTATTTTATCTGATCTTTCCTGTGTCAGATAGAGAACTGTCTTTAACGACCTACGTCATATCTTCATCAAATGTTTCGTGCACTTTTGAGCTTATCTTCTACGGCGCTCTTTTGGCCCCGTCAGGCATCTCCTACCAACCTATACCCTTAACGCCCCATCCAAACGATGTTTTAGGCGTTTTCTGGAAAATGTTTTTTGACCTTTGACCCTGACACAAACAGACAAACTTTTTTTTCATATGGCCCTCCTTTTAGTCGAGGGAATAATGTTCAAAATGTTTACGATTTGTTAGGTTTACTAATATTTTAAAGAACATAAGGGCATCTACATTATATTAAGAATATGACGAGGGACAGTACTCGCCCTCAAAACGCTTATATCAGCGGTTTTATGGAAAAGATCTTTTCGTGGGTTATCTGATGAACAATTGTTTTCCACATGAACAGAACATAGTTTGTAAAGGCACATGGATCAGCACAAACCACATTTTTTTCAATTAAGAACATTTTGCAAGGTGGGGAAAAAAGATATATCCCTAGTAAACTAGACAATAAAGAACGGGAACACTAATGGAAGATAATGAACTAAGAAACGTTTTCGTCGTGTTGATACCCATCGATCACGAAAGATGAGAATGTCTTTCAATAGTGGCCCAAGCAAAAAGTATGATTTGACTGCAATACAATCCGCAGTCGATAAATGCCCATATAAGACATAACATATAAGGAAAGCTTTTATTCAATTTTGATATATTAAAAAATGCACTAGTTCACATGTTTCTGTTTCTAGTTTATTTCGCAATTATTTTGAGTTATTAGGTAAATTTGTTTTCTTTAGGAATAAAAGATCAGTTTTGTTCATCTTTAAAGATCAATATAATTCAGCACTGATAAGAGAACCACTACTACCCCATCCACCATTAACTAATATTTTCCCATTTGATAATATAGATGCTGTATGATAATATCGTGCATCATTTATATTTTCAGTTGTTGTCCAATTACCTGTTGATGGATCATATAATTCAGCACTAGTAAGAGGACCACTACCATTTCTCCCACCGGTAATCAATATTTTTCCATTCGATAATATCGATGCTGCATGAAATCTTCGGGCAACACTCATATTTTCAGTTGTTGTCCAATTACCTGTTATTGGATCGTATAATTCAGCACTAGTAAGAGGACCACTACCATTTCCCCCACCGGTAATCAATATTTTTCCATTAGATAAATTCGATGCTGTATGATATCTTCGTGCAACACTCATATTTCCAGTTCTTGTCCAATTACCTGTTAATGGATCGTATAATTCAGCACTAGTAAGAGGAATATTACCATTTCCCCCACCGGTAATCAATATTTTTCCATTGGATAAACTCGATGCTGTATGATATCCTCGTGCAGCACTCATATTTCCAGTAGTTGTCCAATTACCTGTTGATGGATCATATAATTCAGCACTGGCAAGAGACCCATTACTTCCCAATCCGCTAACGACTAATATTTTTCCATTTGATAAACTCGATGCTGTATGATATCCTCGTGCAACACTCATATTTCCAGTAGTTGTCCAGTTTCCTGTTGATGGATCATATAGTTCAGCACTAGTAAGAGGACCACTACTACTCAATCCACCATTAACTAATATTTTCCCATTCGATAATATCGATGCTGTATGATATCCTCGTGCAACACTCATATTTCCAGTGGTTGTCCAATTACCTGTTGATGGATCGTATAATTCAGCACTGGCAAGAGACTCATTACTTCCCCATCCGCCAACGACTAATATTTTTCCATTTGATAATATTGATGTTGTATGACATCTTCGTGCAACACTCATATTTCCAGTTCTTGCCCAATCTGAAATGAGATTTACAAACGAGAAAATATAGATGTATATGATGATAACTTCAAATTAATTTAAAAAAACTTCATTCATCTGTGTTATTCTCTTTTCTAAAAGGATGGGTTATACAGCGGTTAAATCCTAAGCTCGAAAAGCTTAAAGTTTGTCTGTCTGACCTATCCAATCAGAAAGCAGCGTTACTTAAATCATTGAAGTTTAACCGATAGCAATCAGATACTGAGTACTAGTGAGGTAATCGACGTAGAGGAACTCGAAATTGAGCTTAGTTTTAACTAATTATTTTAACTGATTATGTTAATTATTACTTAACTATTGGTTAACTAGGCATGAGTTATTACTATATCCAGTAAGGGTTGACCGAAGGGTAATCGAATCGGAGAACTCGAATCGGTTGTTAGCCTTTCCTTGCTCACTAAGATCCGTCTTCTTGCTTTCTCTTTCTAAAACAAATATTTTTCTGTCTCCTTTCTAAAATTTAGTATGAAAGGTAGTGAATGAAACGCTATTTCTGGATATGATGTTTGCGAAAATAGTGGTTAACGCCCTTGCACGAAAACATTTAGTATATCTTACATTATCATATTTGCTATTCAAGAAATCAGAAAAAATAGTTTCTATTTAATATCATACTTGCCTTGTGAGCTACGATTTTTAAAAGGGATTCCACGAATGTTTCTTCATGAAACTATTCAAAAGAGTAGCATTTTCGTGAAAGTAGAAAAAAGAATCAATTGTGAGCTTAAATGCATAGGCTAATATGCAAGCTTAGCAAGTCGACGATTATATACCGTTCTTTTGTGGGCAACTCAGTAAAGTGTCCACAAAAACCTTCATGTGTATAATGTGAAAGTAGAAAAACGGAGTTTAAAAATTAATGTGTAGCCGTGAATGACTGGCCGGGAGAAGAGGCCTACGAATGACTAACCATTAAGCGATGGACTTTTCGGTAAACATAGGTAGTACTTGAAAACTCTTCCCTGACAAAGGTGTAATTGGTTCGGTTCACGAAAAAAAAAGAAGAATCTTTGTCTTGTACTAATTCTCGTGCGAGACACAATGCCATGGTCTAGCTGAGGGCCAGTAGTAATCACAGTGCCCTATTTGTTTTTCAATGTATCTGAATATGTTCAGCAGTGGAACAATTTTTTCAGACAAGGATCGGCGAATCCATAGGATGAGCATTACTTGTATAAAATATCGTTTTAAAAAATTTATTAAACTCTGATGTAGTGTGAGAAATTTATAATCAGAACGATATCAAGATTGTAAGATAATCAAAGTTTATTATTGCGTAATTGAGCCTCTTTTCCCAGTAGATCTTACTCACAAGATTACTAGATATATTTAAAAAGTTCGAAATGATTCATAAACGCATATACATACATCTCAACGAGAGAACTATATTCACCTCATTTATTCAATCGGTGTGAAGCTAGCACCACGAAACTACGGATCTTTTGAAGACGAAAATTCTGCATTGAATAGACTCGGTTTTATCGACGATAATTCGTTTTCAGAAGATCCTTAGTTTCGTGGTGCTAGGTTCACACCGATATTTATTCACAGTCGACCGTCTTACATATGATCACATTGTGTTTTCATTCGTTCATCTCTCAACAGGTTACCACCAATAACTTCATACATACTTTGTTCAAGACTCACTGTTGTAGCCACAGCCATCGTTGATAGTGGTTCTTGACAGTAAGTATCTGAAGATAAACGTAATTCAATTATCTGTATTACTCAAAATAACAACAAATTTACTTTGATTTTTTCGATAACAAATTACACTGGCTCGAGTATTTCTAGATGATATTATATTACCTATTTGACAATTTTCACCAAATAGTAGACAAGTTTGATTGTCATGATAATATACAGCTGTTTGGCAATTATCTCGATGAACACATTCCCATATACAAGCTTGAATTGATGTATCACTTGAAATAGTAACATTTTCAAATAAAGTACAAGAAGAATTAGATTGATAAAGTGAAGATCGATGAATTTGAGTTAGAATAATTGCATTAATCGAAGAAAGCAACAGAATAAAAAACAAGAGTAAATACGTTTTTATGTACATCTCTCTAGTTCTATGATAAGTGAAGAGAATATAAAAATGAGATTGTCGAAACCAATGAAAAATAAAATAAAATAACTTCTTATTTTATATGATTTTGAAACTATTTAAACAAAAGAAAATACTTACGTCAGTATATGTTAATGTTTACTGACTGTTCGGAAGTCTGGTTTCCGATGAATTGTAAATTTATTTAAAAAGTTTATAATTGAAATATCATATTTTTATTCCATTGTGAGTACATAGGGAACGTTTAACAAGTCAATATTGCTTCGTGAGGAAAAGATTTTATGAAATAGTATTTGTTCTTCTTTTATTAAATTTCTTCGAACTTTTATTATGCTCGATAAAAGAACATACTCTCAACTATACATCATAATTAACCCCATAGTCAATCATTTTATAATGAAGGATTATAAACAAGTAACGCGGCTTAGGTGCCGCTAAACCCTCTACTGGAACGATAGTATTAGAGCGCTACTATTCGTTCAAAGAGAGAAAAAAGTGATTTCAGTTGAACGATCTGATCATTTGATAGTTTGTCAGAATGTTTTACTTAGACCAATTTCTCTTCCTGAAATCTTCTGAAATTATAACGAGTAGTCGCTCGTCGGCCTCCCTCCGGTCGGCCACTCGCGGTTACCCGTTACATGTACATTTTCCCTCTTCCATTTAGTCCAAAGTCAATTTTGAAACTAATCCGTTCATTCTCTGCTATTCCTTCTTTAAAAGTCACCCTCTTTGTACTACTACGACTTTTGAAGACAACACTTGACAGGAAAAACATTATTTTGAATGACTGGTATCAAATGATATTCGTATGGTGTACCTGTTTCTAAAAGTGTATGATCTCATTAATATGCTGATGGCTATGACGATCCAGCGATCGGACGTCAGTCAGCTATTACATTTTGTTCTACATATTGCCGCTTAAAATATTATCGTCTAAAAAAAAATCGATCCTTTGTCGCAAAAAACGGGTAAGAAAGTGTTCATGAAAAAACTAACACTAGATTCGAGATCATCGACCTCGATTACCCTTCGGTCAACCCTTACTACTATGAACTAGTATTAGATAATATTGGAAGAAAAATGAACGGACGAACGAACATCAACTCGTTTTTCCAGTGATATCAGCTCGACGCACTACCCTCCTTCCAGTGGAGGGAATAACTTCAAAGAACTTCTTTATTACTCATCGGCGGACCGGCAAAAAAATTTCAGGGGGGGGGGGGGGGGGGGGTGGTTCCTCAGGGCCCCGCCGAAAAAAAATTTAAACAAACAAAG